ATCGAGTCCCCTCTCGAGTCCCCTCGAGCTCCCCTTTCGAGTCCCCTTTCGAGTCCCTTTCGAGACACGTCTCGAAGTCCCCTCTCGAGTTCCCTCTCGAGTCCCCTCTCGAGGTCTCCTCTCCAGGGTTACCTCTCGAGTCCCCTCTCGAGTCCCTTTCCAAAGACACGTCTCAAGAGTCCCCTCTCGAGTCTCCTCTCGAGTCTCTCTTGAGTCTCCGTCTCGAGTCACCTCTCGATCCTCCTCAAGTCACTTGGAGTCCCCTCTCAAGTCTCTTCTCCAGTCTCCTCTCAAGTCTCCTCTTCGAGTTCCCTCTCAAGCCCCCCTCTCGAGTCCCCTCTCGGAGTCTCCTCTCCAGTTACCTCTCGAGGTCCCCTCTCGAGTCCCCTTCAAGCACACGTCTTCAAAGCCCCTCTCGAGTCTCCTCTCCGAGTCCCCTCTCGAGCTCTCCTTCGAGTTCCCTCTCAATCACCTCTGGAGTCCCCTCTCAAGTCTCTCTTCTCCATCTCCTCTCAAGTCTCCTCTCGAGTTCCCTCTCAACCCATCTCTCGAGTCTGTCCTCTCGAGTTCCCTCCAAATTCTCCTCTCGATCCCCTCTCAAGTCTCTTCGTCCAGTCTCCTTCTCAAGTCCTCTCGAGTTCCCTCCTCAAGCCCTCTCCTCGAGTTCCCTCTCTCGAGTGTCCCTCTCAAGCCCTCTCTCGAGATTTCCTCTCGAGTCTCCCTCTCAATGTCTCCTCTCGGAGTCTCCGTTGCAAGTTCCCTCCCGAGTTCCCTTCAAATCCTACCGCAATGTCCTGGTCCGTTGGAGGTTCCGCTGGGGTCATGCCAATCCCCTTGTCCTGTTCCTGTTGGAGGTCCCGCCGGACTACTCTTCTACCGGGGGGTCCTGCCAACTCTATTGTCCCGTGCCATTGGATGGCCCCGCCATCACCTGTCCCTGCGGGGGTCCTACCAACACCTGGTCCTCTTCCGTGGGTATCCTGCCGAGGCCTGATCCCACCCGTCTCCGGTTCCTGTTCGGCCGACACGGGCTCTGCTCGGCCTCTGAGCTTGCTGGGTCTTTCACCTCGAGCCGGCCCCCCTGAGAGCCCACAGTCTTGCGCCGCTTTCCAATCCCGGGCCTCTGTGAGCCGCTGGTCTTCGCCCTTGACCCGGCCCCTGACTCTTCCTGCCACTTGCCCTCGTCTCGGGCCAGGGCCCCCTGACTCTTCCAGCCGCGCTGTCTTTGCCCTCAAGCTGGAATCCCCCTTCTTGACTCTGCTTTGCCCTGCCCGGCTGTCCGCCCTGAGATCCCTTCCTGGTGCTCTGCTTCCCTGGCGGTCAGCTCAGTCCCGTCTCCTGACCCCCTCCAAACCACCCCTTGGTGGCCTAGTGGATACGATCATTATTACCATTAATCATTGACACCTATGCTGTTCCACTCAGAAAGGCCTTCGATGCAAAAAGGAATATAGACGTAAATGGTCACTATCTGTCTTTTATGTTTTGTTTTGTCTAGATCTGTCTTGGTTTTATGTCTGCGTTGTGTTTTTCTTGTTTTGATCTGTCTGTGTTCCCTGTCGTTAGTTTCCCTGGTGGTCTAATTTACCCGATTGTGTTCACCTGGTGATCCTGTGTTTTCTCCTACCTGCTCAGCTGTGCTTGTTTGTATATTATTCTTGTGTGTATTTAAGTTCTGGTTTTCTGTCTTTGTCAGGTTCGTCTTGGCTGGTGGATATGGCTTGTTCCTCGGTGATGTTCTGTTCAGTCTGGATTAGCCTGAAATAAAGGAGTTATTTTGTCACTTTAATCTGCATTTGGGGTCCTGCTTCCTACCACGACGACCGTAACCAAAGTTACAATCCCCCCTGAAACTTCGGCTGGAGAAGGAAGAAAGACAAAGAATACACTGGAAATATGGTCAAGTACGGCTACAAGCTCTAGGTTCAGTAGCGTGGGGACAATCATACTTAGGTGTATTTTCCACCACTTGCCTGGTAGTTTTGTGGTTCATGATAACGTAAGCAGGGCTGGTAATGTCAACAACCATGAACACATAGTGGTGTATCTCCATACAGGCAGATGTTGTTGCATCTGCTCACCTTGTGTTTAACCTCAACAACAAACAAAACGCTTATTGTCTGTTGTGCAAAAAAGATTTGTGTAATGTCAAATGTTATTGTTACAAGCTTGTTACGCACTGCCCCCCAAGTGGCCAACACAAATGCACAGTCAGATTAAAAAAATTTACCGGTATATATAGTTTCTTCGATTTCCTATATGTATTTGATGACACTCCAAAACTATTCACCTTTATAGTACCATTGGTTCAGTTAGAGTAAGCAGGGTTGGAATTAGCAATGAAGCAATGACAGTCACACTAGTGAGGTGGTGTCCATGCTGCGTGTTTCACGATGTGTTGTGATGTCTTAAACAAACAACTCTGCTTTTTAATTCAACATTTTCCTTTTATTTTTCTGTAGGCTCCGGACACCTTCGTTGTGTCGCTACATCAGTCCAGTATCTACTAATACTATCTACTAACTTGGTTACCAGCATTAGTTTTCATATTATCCGGTGTTGAAGTATAGATGTCTTTTAAAAAAGTAATGTAGTGTTGTGTAAAACAAAGACTGAAATCGCCGCTCAATCCCCTGTCTTTAAATGATTGACTCCCACCAATGCTCAACATCGCTTCCAGTTAGCAGTCCAAGTGGCATGTAACCCCTTTGTTTCATAACAGGTTACTGGATCTGGTACACGAGCGCTGCTGTCTTTTGGGATGTTTCAGATCATGATCAGCGATTTACATTTTGAATTGTGAGGTAGTTTAACAGCTGCTGGATTTAAAAGGTTAGATGGCAACATCATTTTAATTTGAACGATTTTGGTTTAAAAAAACAAGAACTGGATTCGCTTCCAAAAATCCAACTTTCTTGTTGCTACTGAAGACTGATAATGACAGTAAAGTACCTTTTTAACAATAACCCAGTTTTGACTGTACTTTTCTGGCACTGCGGTTTTCGATCGACCTTTGAAGACACAATGATCTTCCATTTTCAGCTGAAAAACGACATTTAGCTTTTTACTTGGTCAAATTGGTTAAGTTTTAAATTTGTCCGATTCTTTTCTTGAGCTTCTTAATCATGTGATAGTCAAAAACTCAGACTATGGTTCCTCATGCTCTCCAGTCCCAAGCCTGATTACAAACCCCAAGACCCCCCACAGCGGGTCCTTTTTTCTTCTTCTTCTTCACGACACTGTGTCTCAGGGGATCCTGTAATATTTAAGAAACCGTATTAATGTGTTATACCAGATTAACCGGGGAATAACTCACAGCTAACTGACCGATACAAACCATTTTAGCAAAAAAAAACACAAGTCTCCATACAGAAGCATCTAAATGACCACTGAGCGAAACAATGCTAACGGCACTTTGGAAAAGCAACTCAAGATAAAAGGATACCCCTTGATACTCTATCGTAGCATGCACATAAAAATAATATTCCGATTAAAGCTGAGGTTCCACGCAGATTATTGTATATATACTAGTCATCACTAAGTGAATCCGAGACTCGGCGACAGGGAAGCAAACTAAGACGGATCACAACACGTACCTGTTCACGTAGCTTTTACGGGAAGATTCCTCCTCCACCGTATCTGATCAAAAGGGAACTTGTTCAATGGCATTAAAACACGAGAAAAAAATTTACTTTTTAAATATATAAATCCATAATTCAATTTTATGTAAAAATTGGAGGGTTCAAAAGTTAGCTTGCTAATAGCCACCAGAGTTATCGCAGCTTCGCTGGTTATGTGCAGCAGTCTCACACATGACCAAATAAGGAGTATTGGGAGTTCCCCCGGTCGATTCCATTGGCTCGACGGTTAGAAAAAGAGATGTCACATGTTACATTTTTTTTACTGGTGATCAATCTGAATCCATTGGTAAAATAAAAATTTTCCAAATACTCTATATGATTCTGACAC